AGCACTAAAAATACCTCTGACTGAGCAGTGGAAATACGATAGCTCGAGCACTGAGCAGTACTTTGGGCTAGACAGTGGTTTGTAATTACATGGTTTCCGTTCAGGGACCTGCCAAGAGACCATTCCCACACAGTCTTTATTTTAGCGAGGGCAGGGTACGGGGGAGAGGTGGCATCTCCTTTGCCTATCAGCAAAACTGGCCTCAAGCCTCCACCACAGTTTCTGCCTGCAGCGTTTTAAAACCCAGCAACAGCTCCTCTTAGAGGGTAAGGGAAGATCTGCTGCACACAAAGGAGTAACAACCACCACTGTATCTGTACCACTTATCTTGTAGTCATCTTTATGTGCTTTCATATGTAAAGATCCACTGCACTGCAGTTCTCTGTGCTGGCAATGCCGAAGTACTGAGGAGCTGTCTGGGGGTTGATCCTGGGTACCTGCACGTACCAGTTCATCCCAGTCCCAGTGGGCAGATGCTGATGAGCATCCCCATGAAACCCACCACAGGGCTGAGCTTCCCTTCATGAGAGAAGGAGCAGTACAGGTGGTAAATATACACACACGCAGACATTTTATCTCTACCTATATACACAGATATAAAGACCCAGGGAGATAAGGACAGGCTGCTTGGTAGGACCATGTTCACCTGCTTTCCATCAGAGAGCAGTGGCATTTTCACCATCCCCTGCACAGTCCAGTTCATCTCATGAACACCTTTATGCTCTGGAGGGTGATCGCTGCCCTCCCCTCCTGCTGGCACCAGGTTTCCATGGGCTTCTCTAGGATGAGTCCAGCTGTGCCAAGATGAGCTCTTGCTCAACAGGGTTTCTTTGGGAAGAAGAAAACATCCCAAAATGCTCCCAAACCCAGCAACAGGACAAGAGCAGAGACCAGTGATGGAGAATACACAGTGACCACTGCCCTGGGGCACGAAGAGCAGCCTGGGGGTGATGCACTGCATCAGGAAGGAAGGGACATGGGGCTGTGCAGCTCATCCCATTGTACCCCAACGCTGAGAGGGACCCAGGAATCCAAAGGAATTCCTTTCTGCACGAGCAAACAGGCAGCTTTGCCCAGTAAACTGCAGGGTTTCAAGCTGAAAATGGGCTAAATTAAAGGCTGGGTGCAGTGTGACACAGAGGAGCACCTTGTGGGACAGCTCTCCATCAGCTCAGGAAGCACCGGAAGGTAAGTGTGTGTTCATGATTGCACACAGCATCTTCAGTTGCTTGCGTTGGCTAATAAAAACCCACTCTGTGTTTCCACAGGTTGAAGCAAGGCTTTCTGAGGAACCACAAAACCCTGCTTTTCCACAGGCTGAAGGTTTCTAAACTTTCCCCCCACCTGAAACTCTGCAATAGAGTCTCTAAATTACACTCATTGCTTACAGTGGGTTTCATTACCAGCCGTTCCCTCGGTGCCCATGACACCAGCTGGGTGCTGCACTTCAGGAATCCATTACATGCTAACAACAAAAATGTTTCCTCTTAAAATAAAGAATAATGCAAAAAAAGGAGCTTTTGGTGATAAACTGGTTCCTGTTTCTTTAAAAGTCTGGGATGTTATCGGAGAAGGAGATGGAGATGGAGAAGCTGCTTTTGGACACCAGAGTTCTCTCTAGAATGCCCTGTCCTTTCAATGTATTTGTTCTTAATAAGCATAATGAACAGAAGCAATAAGCTGTCATACACACAAGCAGCTTTTTAACTAATTCAAAGCCTGGTTTATGCACTCAACAGTCTCTATGGGCATGGTCAATGCAAGCCAGCATAGCAAGAGGGAAAGCATGCTGGCACATGGGGTTACAGTTCATCCCTTCCTCGTATGGCACATGTGTGGCATTTGCTACCATCAACAGCAAAAGAGAAGAAAACCAAGATGCTGGCAGTAGACATCTGCAGTACCGTGCCTCAGGGCTCACTTCCTTGAATTTCATGTTAGAAATTTAAGTGGATCTTGCAAAACCTGGATGTTCCCAAAACCTGACATTTCAGACTCAAACTGCGCTCTCTTCTTCCCTGCAACCTACCTGTACCCAGGGATTTCACCCTATTTGAATCTGAAGGCTTTTAAAGCATATTTATATGTTTCAGGCTGCACTAACTGGTGAATAGAACCATAAACTGGTTTGGGTTGAAGGGACCTTAAAGCTCCTCCAGCTCCAACCCCTGCCATGGGCAGGGACCCCTTCCACTGGAGCAGCTTGCTCCAAGCCCCTGTGTCCAACCTGGCCTTGAACACTGCCAGCGATGGGGCAGGCACAACTGAATAGAAGAGCTAAATAGAAGAGCATGAGGAGCTCCTGCTGTGTCTGTGTGTTGGTAATTCTGGTGAAGCAAAACCGAGAGCAGGCTGTGAGCTGCAGCATACCTGGGTTGGCAAAAGCTCAAATTTGAAGGGGTGGGAAGGAGGAGAAAAAGCACTTTCTGCCTGCGTCAGTTAGGAATTCTCAGCCTTCAGAGGGCTGCCAGCAGACTCAGTTATGCCTTGGTAAAACAGAAAGGAAACTATTGCAGGTATTACAGCTATCTGAAGGGGGCCTGTAGGGATGCTGGGATGGACTCTTCATTAGGGACTGTAGTGACAGGACAAGGGGTAATGGGTTAAAACTGAAACAGGGGAAGTTTAGATTGGATATAAGGAGGAAATTCTTTCCTGTGAGGGTGGTGAGGCACTGGAATGGGTTGCCCAGGGAGGTTGTGAATGCTCCATCCCTGGCAGTGTTCAAGACCAGGCTGGATGAAGCCTTGGGTGAGATGGTTTAGTGTGAGGTGTCCCTGCCCATGGCAGGGGGGTTGGAACTGGATGATCTTAAGGTCCTTTCCAACCCGAACTATTCTGTGATTCTAGGATTCTATTTTCATCCCTTTCATAACAGGGGAGGGAAAAAATCCCTTGCATTGCTGAGTCAAACACTTCCTCTTTAATGAAAACTTTATTAGATCCCAGCATGGTTACAAGCTTGGAAATTGCTTTTAGGGAGTTTGATGAGTTTGGGAGCTAGGATTTAAGTCACTGTCTTTTCAATTTCATCTCATTCAATCCACATTTAATTCGATTGTGCTGCGATGCTTACTTGCATTTTACCATTTTGCTACTTTCTCATCCTTTTGCAAGCAAGACCTCCCCTAACTCCAGCATCATTCCTAAGCACAGCACAACAGGTATTTGTAAGCCACAAGGTATCCTGCAAAGCTGCAGTGTTTGGGGTGGGTTTGTGGGGTTTAATCCCCTCCAGACATACAGACTGCCTAATGCACATGTTGTACCTCCAGACATACACACAGCCTAATGCACACGTTGTACCTCCAGACATACACACTGCCTAATGCACACGTTGTACCTCCAGACATACACACTGCCTAATGCACACCTTGTACCTCCAGACATACACACTGCCTAATGCACATGTTGTACCTCTGTTTCTGAGTGGTTTCCAGCACCATGGGAGATGAGGAAAAGCTCTCCCCTGCCTCACTTACCTCCCATGTAGTTTGCCCAAGGAAGAGGCCCTTCATCACCTGCATCAAACAAACTCTGCCCTTGGCTTTTCTCCCCTTGTCCTGCTTTAACTCTTTCACCTGCCATCAATGCCAAATCAAGCAACTGCAAATTGCAGCCACCTTTCTGCAGCCTGATTTCCTGCCAAGGGAATAAACCCACCCTTGGCTACAGCCAGCAACAAGCAAAAGGTGAAGCAATGGGCAGGCCACGTGCATTGCTTCAGTCCTTGGGCTGTTGTTCGGTTACAGAACAAGGCTGCAAACCCCATGGAATGCAGCGTGGTGGGAACACATCTGAGGGTGCTGAGGCGCTGGCACAGGGTGCCCAGAGAAGCTGTGGCTGCCCCATCCCTGGCAGTGCTCAAGGCCAGGTTGGACACAGGGGCTTGGAGCAAGCTGCTCCAGTGGAAGGGGTCCCTGCCCGTGGCAGGGGTTGGAGCTGGAGGAGCTTTAAGGTCCCTTCAACCCAAACCAGGCTGGGGTTCTATGACAAAGAAGAGGTTTGAATCCTGTGGAACAGAACTGCTCTTGGGTCTCCTTTGGGATGTGAAACCAGTCTTCACCCACGTAGTGCCAGTGCAGGCACAGCATCGTGGCTGAGAGCCCTGACCCAAAGCTGTATCTAACTTGGGTTCCCAGGTTTTAATTGCACAGAGAAACAAAGCGGTCAGTGGCTCCCAGCAGCACAGAGTGGGCAGCAAAAGAGCCAAGAACACAAAGGATTTCCAGCTCCTGGCTATAAACCAGAGCATCACATTCCCTCTCTTCCCAGAAACGACACTCGAGGTGGCCTTGTTCATGCTCCAGTGCTCTCTTCTTCTCCTTTTTCCTGTAATCCTGCTTAGCCACAACATTATAGGCTTTATGACGTTTTCTGTTCAGGCCCAGTGAAGATTGTAAACATCTGCCTCTCACTGTTAATCCTGAAGGGAGAGCAGCAGCACACAGCAGTATCTGGGATGCATTAATGAAGCTGGCTGATAAAACTGGGGTACAAAGGTCTCATTTCATGGGTTGCCTAATCAGAGGTTTCCAGTATGAGCTTGGCTGTGATGCTCAAGTGCTATGTCCACCTTCCTTCCATGAAGCAATAGCCATGGTGGGAGGGCAAAATATCCATCTGCCCAGATATGTTGTGAAGTTCATGGAAGCTCTTTGCCTCTTCTCCACCCAAGTTATCTTCAGGATTGTGCAACAGGCAGGGACAGAAACAAACAGAGCTTTAAATTTGGGTTTAATATTCATGGTTTCATCCTCAAGAAAGACAAACAAAACATGCAGCTGCTATTGCACAAGAGGTTGGCTCCTCTACACCACTGATTAGTGTGGTGGCACACCTCGAGGGCCTCTCTGGGTTCTTGCGCTTGGCCTGGATGTGCAAACAGGAGAACTGAGGCCACATAAATCCCCTGGATTGGCTGGAAAAAACCCTGGATACAGCCTCTGCAGAGTATAAATGGAAAACAGAGTATTTGGGACCTTCCACTCTGAAAGCAGAGCTCCCGAGGCAGCATGGCGATGGGCAGAGTCACAGCGGTCCTCCTCGTGATTGTGATCTCCAGTGGTGAGTTGCCTGCGTTGTAATGAACATTGCTCATTGCAACCTGCCCTCTTTGTTGTGCTTTTAATGAGGGGTAGCTCTAAGGGTTTAGGAACTGATTTGTTCTCTGCTGTTTTCTTGCTTTGGAAAACAACCCTTGTCCCACTGCATGGAAACCTCCATGGGAAAATCCCTTTTGGGTACGGTAAAGAGTTGTGGCAAGATTTTGTTGGAGTAATAATGTTGAATGGGTAAGAGTCAGCTGAGGCACATGCTCACTAGCAGCATGTATGTTTTCTCACAAGCCTTCCCCTCAAAGATCAGCCCGCTGAGCTTAGAGTGTTCCCAGAGACGCTGCAGTGTTGAATGTCATCACCTTTGATTCCACAGAGAATACACAACTCATCAAACTAAATGAAGACTACCTAGAATAAAGGGCTGTTTTGCTTGAGGAAGGCATTAGAGGTTTCCTGCTCCCTCATAGCAGCAGGCCTTCAGTGCCAGCACATCATCTCCCCTGTTTGCGTGCACTCCCAAGCCCAAGCCAAGCTGTCCACACACACCAATAAGCCTCAATTTGTTGCTTTTTCTTCCCAGCCCCGTTTCTGCCAAAGCATCCCATGGGAAGCCTTGGTAGTTTTGGGAGGGGAGCAGGGCTGTCAGATGCTTGTAGGAGGTACCAAGGCAGGCGTTGCCTTTCCCCCCTTCTTTCCCATGTCTTCCATCTCTCAGACATCATCAGGGCTTTATCATCAGCATGGATTTGACAGTGGGTGGTGATAGCTGGAGTCTGGAGTGAAAACTAGGAGGATGTTCGTCTAATCCCCTACTGATTGCTACTTCGAAACAGTGATACAGAAACACTGGGAGATAGAAAACTCAATTAGTAAAAGGTGGATGACCGCTTATATTTTTGACTGGATCCCATGTTAGGAAATAGGAATGGATTCGGTGGGTCTCCCTAAGCCTCATTTATAGTTCAATGTCTCAAAATCCTGGTGGCTCAGCTCACCTTCCAGGCAGAGAGATCCCATAGTTCCAGCCTCATGACTGGCATTGTGAGTGCAGCACAACCCGTCTGCCATGGGGCAGTGGGAGAGGAGTGGGTCACCCTGTGATGTCCCCTCCAGATCTATTTGTTCCGCATTTCTGCTCTGAGATTGCTGCTGTAAGTACCCTCAAACATCACAGGAAAAAGCATGAAACAAAAGAATGCTGTTTCATGTCACCCCTAATATTAACTTACATTAAAAGACGAGCAACTTTCAAGTTCCCAGAAGCCTGATCCCTGATTACAGCAAAGTCCAAAGGGACCTTGTTGTTGAGTAAACAACACAGGCTGAAAAATCCCCTTTCTAGCTCGTGGCTTTCATCTTCTGTTCTTCTCTTTTCTTCTTTTCCAGCTACTGCAGCACAATGGGCCAAAATCTGCTCCAGTCAACCCTCAAACAGAATCAGAGGCTGTGACTCCCATGGCTGTGGCGGATACAACAACCCCAGGTGCTGGGATGGGATGATGGGAGATGGATGTGCTTAAAGCTTCCTTAAAATAGGAATAAGCATGAGAAAATGGGCAAGAGGAGGGTTTCTAGCACTCTGCTGTGGGCTAACCCCATCGCTCTTCTTCTTCAGAGGAGGGAGGAAGCACAAGGGAGTGGACGTGGTATGTGAGGATGGCTCGGAGGTGTACGCACCCTTCACAGGGAACATTGACAAGAGAGCCAGGCCCTATGGAAACAACAATGCCATTGACAACGGGGTCCAGCTGTCAGGATCAGGTACTGAGCTAAAACGTGTGTCTTGCAAAGTCTGACTGCAAAACGCTTCGATTCATTTACAGAGCTTTAAAACAACCCAAAAATCATGACCCCAACCTGAACTGTGGGTGCTTGCAAGTGAATCCATGGGAAAACTAACTTGGAAACCTCTATTAGGGAAGCCAAAGGATGAAGCTGGTCCCTTTGCACATTTTGGATAATTAAAGGAACCCACCCTAACTCCTTTCCCCTGTTCTTTTCCTATTCTCTCTTCTTGATGCTATAGGAGCATCATTTTCTGTAACTGTTCTTGCTGCTGAATCTCTTTATAATTTTATTGTCATTTGTGTTTTGCTACTGAACATTATGATTTTTCCAGGCTCATTTCATAAGAGCAAGTTTCCCTCTCTTCTCTTTCCCTTTAACAGGATTCTGCATTAAGATGTTTTACATCAGGCCCATCAAGTACAGTGGCCCCATCAGGAAGGGGGAGAAAATCGGCGTCATGCTGCCCATGCAGAGGGTCTACCGAGGAATTATATCCCATGTCCACATCCAGAACTGTGACTTCACAGATCCTACTCCCAACCTGTAAATGGGAGGCTGCACATCATAGGCAAAGCCTTCAGCCTCCTATATGTATTCATTAAATTGCTTGGGTAGCCACTCTAGTAAAGTCAAAGCCACTGAGCCTCAAATGGATGTTCCACCTAAAAATTATCCATGAGCAATATGCTGGTGGTCATCTGAACATAAAGAGACTCAGAGTAAGGTATAACAGAAGCTTTAACACTGTTATCATATACTGCATGTCATGGCACTCGCAGGTGAAAGCTGAAGCAGTGGGGAATGGGTGGCTGGGAGGTGATGGACCCTTGATGCTCAGCTGCAGCTCTCTCCTCTTGGACTTCCCTGCTCTTTTTGCAGCCAAACACGAAGGTTTCTTCAATAAGCCAGAAATATCACTTGTACTAACATATGGAAAATCACATTATTAAAGGGCTGCCTCACTACAAATGGCTTTGAGTTTCTTCGGTGCTGTCACAGTTTGGGCTGGGTTCTGCTTTTTTTAATACAGCTGGGGAGAAAAGCCCATGTATAAAGCTGAAACCTCAACCTTTCCTGGGGCCCATCACCAACAACATAAACCACCATTAATGAAGTAACTCATTCCTTTTCCCCTGACTCCTGCTTCAGCATTGCCTTGGCAAACCCACGCTGCCTTTTGTCCAAGTGAGGCATTTCTTTCCATTAGTAAATCAGCTGAAGACTTTCCCAGGACAACAAGCTCTTGTTAACAGGACAGGGCTTTTGAGGCCAAGACTACCAACATGCTACTGGGAGTCTCAAGAGCTAAATGGCTTTACAAGCACTGCAGGCTCATGTATTTACCATCACAACTGCAAACTCTGATCAGCTGCTTCAGTGGGAGCTGCGTGTGTCCTGACAGCAGGTTTGTTTCCCCTAAGAAACTACAGAAGGATACTCACTGCATCTGTGAGAAGTGCTTAATGTGCCGTGTCCCATTCACCTCCCACAGCAACCACTTTAATTTTGCTATGAGTGAAAAATCAGCATGTCCCTATAAATATACTGCAGGGGCAGAGAGCAACCAGTCACTGCAGGAGAGTCAATACAATTGAACTTGCAGTGAAAAAGCACTTTTCCTTACACTGAAAGCAGAAACATTTCAGTCTCAGAAGCATTTCCTCCTGTACATTAAGGACAGCAGCTCAGTGTTTTTGTGGTGTTCCCCACAGGCTGGTTTCACAAACCTTCTGCAGGGAGCTATTGTTTAACCAGAGCTTCTCCAGCAGCAGCACAGGGAGGTGCAGTGCTTTGGGATGCAGGATGCTCCTGAAAGAGGTACAGGGCAAACACTAAAGCTTCCAGTTTAGGTGGGAGGGAAAAGCAAATACACTTACTGGCTTAGGTTGCAAAGCAGCTGGGGCAAACAGCATCAGTAAATCCAGCTTTATCTTTTCAGTCTAGTAAAACACTGGCTGTGGAGGGAGGGAAAGGACAGTTTGTAGCTGACTCTGGAAAGGAAATAAAGGGCTGGTGAAACACACAGATGTAGAAATAATCAGGGTGAAGGAAGTAACCTGTGGAACAAGGCCTTTCAGGGAACAGCCATGCAGAACTGCTCTGCTTCTGCACCAGTTCTGCAGGGATCCTTCCATTGTTACCCCTTCTATTTTATAAGTTAGGACCACAAGGTCCCCCTGCCTAAAGCTGCAACCCAAATCTACACTGTTCTCTTCTGTTTCACCAAGTGTTAGAGGACTCCTGAAGGGTTCAGCCAGAGCTTTGGCCTCCCCATAAGACAGGACATAGGTAGCAAAAACAGTTTGTGTTCCTCAATCCTCATTAAAACCTGCCTAACTGAGGCTTAGCAAGGATGTTAACAAAGGCGAAAGAAGTCCAAGATGGAGCCTTCCATCACAATTGTACACTAGCACAACTTCAGCTGCATCTTCAGCTCGTGCTTTGCAAAGGAGGAAGGCAACTTACTCGGGTCTCCTGCAGCCTGAAACCTGCTTTGGAATGCCATGCCCAGCCCTGCCTTTTGCCTGATCAGCTAGCGCAACCTGCTGACTTCCCAGCGATACTACAATATATAACCGTGCACACAAAGCCTTGCTAACCATGGAGGCAAAATTCCTCTTATCTCAGCCTTGTCCATCATCAGAAGCCTGAATCAATAGAGACTGCAGTTTAGTTTACGCTGTGCCAGCTTGCTTTCACCATGAAAGCCTGTGTTGCTAATTGCAGGAGGGAATTCTTCTACAGTTAAGTTTTAGAACATATTTTGCTTTATAATAATTAACACAAATATTATTAGCTTTTCAGAGAAACCTTTTAAGGTCCTTTAAATACTGCACGCATATCAGCTGGGAAGTGAGGACTCAGTATCGACATGTCCCCATGCTGAACCCACTGCACTAGCCAAGAAGACAAAGTCAATTACTTTGTAAGATACATTTAGGAAGAGGATTTACCTTTCCAATTGCCTGCTAACAAGCCTGGCCAACCTATACTAATGATGTAGTAACATGACCGAGAAGTAAGATGTGCAACTTTCATTCCCACAGAGGAAGAACTTTATGGACCAAACCATCAGGTTTTGGATGCTGGCTAAAACGTGTGTAAAGGAAATGATGGAGAGAGCAGACATCCCTTGTGGGCAGTCAAAGGGGGATGACAAGTAAAGGTATAAAGAAGTAAGATGGAAGTAAGCCACAGGCCTTGGGGTTGGGGTTTGGCCCTGCCTTTTGCTGATGTTTCTGCCCCAAGAGTCCACTACCATTGCCCAGGTGTGTCTCATAGTTTTCTGGCTTCTATTCCTCCAAAACCCTTGTTCCATTATTTTACCATCTGAATTTTCTTATTAAGAATCAATGTTAAGATAATTAATATAAGAGGGTCCGGTCTAACATTTGTAAGGTTTACAGACACATACATGGCAGTTACCATACATCCAAAAGCACTGGTAACTGGCAGCATATCTTCCTGAAACACCACATCATTTACACAGCACAATCACAGCGCCTTTGGAAAGGCTCAACAGCAAAGTAGGGATTTCTCCTGGGCAGCATCAGGCTTCATTCATTCACTGCCTGTTAAGATCACCCTAAGCACTCATTTGCCTGCTGCACTCTTGCTTGGTCCATGAGAAGACCTCCAATGGATTTACACAGTCAGGGAAGTTGCTACTGACATAAAAAGGGCAAAATGGGGAACTCACACAAGCATTTCCCAAGTGCACCCACCTGCTCTCACTGTCCTTGCAATGCTGGCTCCTCTCCATCTCCTCATCCACTCCCCACCACAGGGAAGGAAATGGTGCAACACCGGCTGGTTGTCCCATATCCTTCTGTTAGAATGTGCTCAGCAGCCAGTTTGTGTCTTTCATAACTGCACCTACCAACTTCTCTATTAACATCCCCATTGACCCACACAGAAATCCCACCAGCTTTGGTCCAGTGTTTCACCAAGCAGGTCTGCGACTTCCAGCCTGCTCAGGGAAGATGGGGAATGCAACAGCAGTATCATACCCTGAAAACTATTTTGTTAAGAATACTTGACCAGAAGTGCATTAGGTACATTATAGTAGCAAATGACATTTTGACAAGTTTTAGAGAGAAAGGAGCTAGAAACAGTGCTGTTAAGATCTCTTATTGTACACAGCTGTGAGACATTTGGAGTCAGCTCTAACACAAATGAGATGAAATAAAAATGGTAAAGAACAGGTAGCTTAGAGCCATTTTACAAAGCACCAGACTGCAAAACAGGACTCCAAGGAGCTTTCAGTAGCTTTGCACCTATAACACAGTTGCTCTCCTCCTGCCTCCCAGCTTGGCTGGCTTTACACCCAGCCTTTCCTTGGCAAGACAATGTAGAGCGGATTGAGGTGCTGCAAGTCAAGAGCTCTTACCAGCACCTTTGTCAGCCTATACCCTGTTATATTGAGCAAATTACAACCAAAATCCCCATCAAAACTAGTCTCATATATAAATATGAGTGTGAATAACAGCAGTCCTTTCTGGCAGGACTGGGGAGAAAGCAGCGTGGGTAAAATCAGCCAAGCCACTTGTAGTAACCTCAGGGAGGGCTAAAAGATTGTTTGGGGATTAAACATTGGCTGTCAGTAAAAAAAAGCTTGGAACCATAAGTAGAAAATTTGTCTCCAACTGCTTATTCCATGGAGATTTGCAGAAAACACAATGTGCAGATGCTCTTTGCAAACTGGAATTGGGCAGGGACGTGTGTTTGTCCTCCAAATAAAGCCCGCAGGGTTTCCAAAGGCTTCTGTAACTTGGAACATTAGACAGCATCAGAAAGCACCATGGTTCATTTAAATTTCATATTAACTAAGACATGTCTGTAAAGGAAACCTAATGCTTTTCTGCAAGTAGTGTAGAAAATCAAACTGGAGGATTAAGAGAGACATTAAGGAGCGTGCTTAATAGTGCAAGAGCTGAAATCAAGCAGATATTAAATCAATCATTTTAAAGCCTTATTCTATGCAACTTGGGTTTGCAACTGTTTGTTTCAGCACTTGGAGATGCTTTAATAAGAATTTAGTTGTGAAAAACTATGGTTTCGGTGAAAAGCCTTCATGGATTTCCTGGATTTAAGTCCAGGCTAGGTGATGAAAAAAAGACATTTCCATGCAGAAGTGTCTGTATTTCTTAGCCTCAATGAATACTTATGCTACAGGAAACATTACACCTTCATGTGCTCTCTGTCACTGTTAGAAGCTCTAATGGCACATACCCCTGGGGAGGAAGTACTGGAATGAGCAGAGAAGGATCAAGGGGTTACCACCACTATGGAGTTTTGCCCATCTTTTCCCTCCAACTCAATCCTCTGGACCATACTCTTGGTTCCTACCATTTTTGGCCTAATGAGTCCTTGCTTTAGGAGGGGAAAGAGAAGGTGTTAAGAAATGTTTCACCCAGAGCTTCCTGAAATGTGGGTCTGTTAGTTTCCAGCTGTTACTGTGTGCTAAGACACCAGTTATTTTATCCATCTTTCCCAACCAGTTCTAACAACTGTCTGTAGACTTTCTCAGTGCCTAATGTGGCAACAGCATCTGCCCAGAGCTGTAATACTTTACCTAAGACTGATTGGCCAAGACAACAGGCTTGGGCTTTCAAAAAACACATAAATACCCCAGGCAGCAAGTGCTCAATGTCTTTGACCCGATCAAAGAACACTGGTGAACCAGCCACACAATGCCAGCTCTCAGCCTGGTCGCCCTGGTCAGCCTGGTGTCCACTGGTGAGTTGAGATCTCTAAGCTGCAGGTGGTCTTGACTGGTTTTAGGTAGACACTAATGAATTAATGACATTTGCTCAAACATAAATAATTTAAGGGGTTTTCAATGTAGTTTTATGAAGAATTATGGTAATGTGCTCAGTTATGACTAGTATAAAACACTGAATTAGGTGTGCGTTTAGAGCCTTATATTGATGTGTTGAGAGGTTTCATGAAGAAAGTGAATATAACTTATTTCACAAACTAACATTCAAAACATTTATCCACAGCTTTGCTTTTAGTGTACCTTACAATAAGATCTTAAGAAAAACAACCAGATCTATAGAGCAGGTTATACAATGTTCTCTTCCCTATGTTCTGAAATTACAAACTCCGATGAGCTCACGTCTTCCACTTTAAACAGCCTGTTTTGGACCTTAACACTTTATTTTGTGCTGTACAAAGTTAAATTTCCCCTATTTTCCTCTTTTGCACATGCAGTTTTTGCCAAGCAGTTGGATGCACACCCGCCCCAACAACAACACAGACACTGGGCTCCCATCTGCAGCGGGAACCCCACCAACAAGATCCGGGGCTGCGATAGATATGGCTGTGGCAACTTCGGTGCTGACAGGTAATCACAGCCTGGTTTGGTATTACAGTGCAGTAATACCACTGCTACCAACTGATGCATGGGGGAAGAAGCAAGACCAGTACAGAATTAGCAGCCAGAGTAGAAAAAATAGGAAGCATTTCAAGGATCTGAATCATTTATTCTTGTTGGTTATAGACCAGATACTTAACTAACATTCAGCAACAGCTTAAAGGATATCAAGTAGATTAATTTACACAAGCCAAAGGTCTGCCAGCATCATTGTCTTTAAGTAGGCTGTATTTCCCTGAAAAATGCTTTTATGCATAGAATGGCTCCTGCCTTCCCTGCATTTTCCTGTCACTTCCTCTCTCCAGGCACTGTAAGAAGTGTTCATCCTCATCCATGCAACTTCCAAATCTCTAAGCGAAAAAATGTAAAACATAAGATTCTATTTTATACCAATACCCATGTATTTTGGCACAGAACAGGGCTACTTTTCCGTAACAGCTTGAAATACACCACAAACATGGGAAAATTAAAAGTACCCTTAGAATATGAAATTTCACCCCCCCTTTAATGAAGGCCAGAGTAATACAAACATTTTACAATAAAGATGGATCAAAGCAAATGATTCTTTTCAATTTCACAGCAGATGCAAAAGATGTCTTAGACAAGCCTCAGATACCATACTGTGTTAACTGACACATCTACACATGATGTTAAGCCTGACAGACTCCTCTAATTCCATATTTGTGTTTTCAGGCACAGTGGTAAAGGAAAGCATGCTGGTGTGGATGTCATCTGCCATGATGGAGCGACAGTATACGCTCCTTTCAGCGGGCAGCTCTCTGGACCCATTCGATTCTTCCATAATGGAAATGCCATCGATGATGGAGTCCAAATCAGAGGATCAGGCAAGTAATTAACAGCAGATACCCCGTGAGGCAGGAACAAGTAATCATTTTATCTGCTTGAGTAAGTTTTCTGTGCCTCTTCAATTCAAGCAAAGTGTTGATTGATCTTACACCCTCTCTAGTTGCTCCATTGAAGCACAACTACACTGCTGCTCTAAGATATCACAAGTCAGCACCAGCAGGATGTAGCCCTCTTCCTATGCTTTTCTTGGAAAGGAGGGACGAAAGGAGCTGAAAAACAGGTAGCAGGAAAACAACAACCCAAGATCAAAAAAAGGAAAGAGTAAAAATAAAGTACCAGGAATAGCCCTCAGTTTTGCTGAGAGGATGTTTTCTGTCCCAACTCGCTCTTTTCCTCACTTCCTCGGCAAATTCAGTAATTTTGATGTGGGGATTGTTGGTACCTTGACCACATTTCTGCTTCATCCCTACAGTCTCCAGTAAGAGCCTGGCACGGAAGGTTTCTTGCTCACCCGAAGATCAGAGGCAGCTGATGTTTCCTGACCTCGCTTCCTCTCCCGTCTCTTCCAGGTTACTGTGTAAAGCTCGTCTGTATTCACCCCATCCGGTACAACGGCCAAATCCAGAGAGGGCAACAACTTGGGAGAATGCTGCCAATGCAGAAAGTATTTCCTGGCATTATCTCCCACATCCATGTTGAGAACTGCGACCACTCCGATCCTACTCATCTACTTACTCCTGGTAAAAAGACCAGCAAACAAAAAAACACCCCAGAATAAGTAGTATAATGAATGAAAATGAAGTTATTAATTTCAAATAAGGAAAGCAATATTAAACAGCAATAATCCCTCTCCCTGACAGCAACACCCAAAACAAAAAGAATATGCATTATACATACAGCATAACAGGAGTGCAGGCAGTGTTATAGGTAAGAGAATATATGAGCTTAACTTGTGTTTCTTGCCTACCCCATGACACAGCAGCATCAGGTCTCAGCAATAAACCAAGCCAGACATCTCTTCTGGTTGTACACTTTAAACTACTGAGATGATCTCAGTATGACATCTATAGCAGACTTTGGGACCACCCTTTGTAAATACAAATACTACATTGGCAGTAATGGAGAAGAGGACTTGAGGAGCTCAGTCCCATCAGCCTAGGCATAGAATAAGACACAATACTGAGTCTTTTCCCATCCTTCCAATTACACTGTAGGAACTGTGATAACCATTCTGTATTTTTATCTTTAAGGCACGTTCCTCATACGACATAGCCCTCAGTTTGAAACATTACAATCCAGTCTTAGGTGTACATTCTGTTTCCTAAAGGATGATAACATTTTGTGGAGCAAACATCCAACTACACACATGGAATGTATAGAATGTTTCTATCCAACTAAAAGTAAAGCACAGTAGTTACAAATGAAACACTTAGAACCTAGAAGTTAACTTTGATGTGCTGTGTTTCTGTATTTCAAAGTTGTTCCGCCGTTCCCACAACAAGACAGACACTGGGCAACACTGTGCTCCGGGAATCCTACAAACGAGATCCGAGGCTGTGATAAATATGGCTGTGGATACTATGGAGCTCCAAGGTACTGTAGAATTGGAACATGTGGGGGTTTATTGCTCCTCCACTGAAACAGAGTTGAGCTCTGTTCAAGTTGCTTAAGCTTTGAAGGCTTAGGTTAGACAGGAAGAAACATTTTTACTGCAGGGGTAATGCAGCACCAGAACAGGTTGCCCATGCGTGCTGCCTGCTTTACACCCATATAACATGAGGCCTGACAAGAGGCTGCTCTAATTACATGTTTGTTTTCAGACACAATGGCAAAGGAAAGCACACGGGTGTGGATGTCATCTGTTCTGATGGAGCAAACGTCTACGCTCCCTTTTCTGGCCAGCTCTCTGGACCCATCAAATTCTTCCACAATGGAAATGCCATTGATGATGGGGTCCAAATCAGAGGATCAGGTAAACAGCTACTGTTCATTTAATATTTCATTGACTTGAGGTCATGCAGGATGCATTACCTTGCAGCTAGCCAAGTAGTTAAGCAAGGTACACGTTTTGAAACACTGCATCTTCTATCCACTTACATGCAGAACTTTATGCTCCTATGTTACAATGCAAATCATTGAGTTTTGAAGAATGTCTTTGAGCTCTTCTCTTTACTAAAGCAGGAATTCCCACCTTCTCTTCCCTCTTTCACCAAGCCAACAACTCCAACCAATATCTATTTTTTATGACCACAGCATCTTTGCTAGTTTGGTATTTCCACTATTGATATCCCAGTGAAAAGTACACAACAGAAAATGTATTTCTGAAATAGAGTTAGTACAGAACAAATGCTTCATCAGTCATCTGCTGTTTTCCCTCTTGTTTTCACCAGGATTCTGCGTAAAACTACTCTGCATCCACCCCATCAGATACAATGGTAGGATTTCTAAGGGACAAATCCTTGGGAGAATGTTGCCAATGCAAAGAGTATTTCCTGGGATCACATCTCACATTCACGTTGAGAACTGCGATCACTCAGATCCTACTAGCAATCTTGAAAGGGGGAAAGGGCGAAGAGAGTGAAATGGAAACGTAGGAGATTCTAAATAAATTCATCTCAGCATCCAAAAGTTGTTTTTCCTTTTCATGCACAACAAAAGCTTATATTAAAACAGATTTGATACATTGAGCTTTATATAATATTGCAAGGGCATCACATTATTACATGTTCCAGGTACCAGTTAGGTACTGGATTTTAAGTACCTACAGTTGTTGTGAACGTTGTATCTTAGGCTAACTGACAGACTGCTAATCTTGGCAAACAAGATGACTTGAGATTTTGAGGACACCTGAATTGAGGAATAGAGTGAAACTGAAACGCTGAAGGTATGAAAGATGCCGTTTGGAACTGTCACAACAGAACAACCGGTGCCTTCACTGAGTGGCAAAAGGGACTCCACACAAGGAAAAAAGGTTTTTTGTCAGAATTTGCATTTACAAGAGAAGTGGGAACTTAATTACTAAGTGCAAGCTTTCCCAGGCTGAACAATCAGCAGGACAAGTAGCTCACCCCCTCATGTGGCAGAAAACATGCATTGCACCCAGTTTCTCACTGCACGGGCCCTACAAAACTCCTAAGCGTTAGCAGGTATAAATGCTGTACTTCATTTAAACTGGGGTTACTCTAATAAACTGTATTGTTTCCTTATACGCTTTAGAGATGGGGTTTTAGAAAGCCTTTGCAGTGCAGTAAACCCAAGAAAAAACAATAAAATGGACAAAATTTGCCTTAACTGGGACAAGGCAGAGCTCTCAAGTACAGGCTGCTCCATGGACTTGAGGAAGTTCAGGCAGCAGGCAGCTATCTACGGGTTCTTGTCAAATGCAAGTCATTTAGGAAGATCTACATAAGAAGAAAAAGAACAAATGCTGCTTTACACAGGGGCAATGTTCTGGCACTCCTCCCCAAAGCACTGTGTATGTAACTGCAGCACCAAGAATGGCACCAAACAACTCTCACACTAAAACTATAAAATCATTGTTAACCTAATACTAGAAGTTATCTTTCAACTAAAATTAGCTCCCATGTTACCCAGGAAGGATCAGCATTTCACATTTATGAGTTCTGTTGGCATTTAGCTACAAACTCCAACATCAATCGGTCTTACTTGTTAAGATCAGCCCGCAGAGTGAATCCACAGGAAGAATCATTGCATCAAAAAGTCACAGCACAATAAAGGCAGGCTCGTTTTTCCAGAGGCTTGGAGCTGGAGCAAGCTAACATTGATGGCTTCACGGGAAAGCTGCTTCAGTAAGAGGGACAGAGGAAACAACATTTAAAGAAGCATTTTAAGTTTCCTCCTGTAAATAGCCACTCATGTTCGATACTTCACTAATGCCCTATGCTGGCTAGGGAGACATGAAGGACTCTAGGACACACCAGCCACCTCCAAGATTTATCCATATTACATTTTAGCTTCAGCATATCAAAAGCCCTTAAGTTTGAGGCATGAACATGAAATCACAACGACATAATTCACTATAACCTAAAGCTGAACATTTCTACTGCCTCTCCCCAGGTTTCAGCAGATGGTTCCTAAAAGGATAGAACCCTGCCTAACAGGAGGATGTGGTGCAACAGATGGATAAGAATCTAATGTCAGTGCATGTATTAGATCACTTTATTATGTTTACATTTAAAGCAAATCACACATCTTAAACCAAATACTGTTTAGAAGCATTTCAAGTCTTTCAATCCTTTTGATTATGGAAGGAAGAGTTGGGTTAACAGGCACCAATAACCAGAGTCAGACACTTCTCCACTGAACAAGCAGCAGTAACACATTACTGACTCAGACAGGCATTACATGTCATCTGAAAGCCTTCAGCTTGCAACGGGGAGCAAATCTGTCCAGGACACTGGTGGCTTAACCCTTCAGACATTGCTTTTGCAGTGTAAACCTTGGAAGAAACCAACATTTAGTCTGATGTGAATGTGCTGTGTTTGTCTGGGATGGAGTTTATTGCCTTCACAGGAGCTTGTATGGGACAATGGTTTGGACTTGTGCTGGAAACCATTTATCTAATAGCCCAGGGATGTTTGTGTCACTGAGCAGCACTTACACAGAGTAAAAGCCTCTTCTGCTCCTCACCCCACCCCCCAGCAAGGAGGCTGGGAACAGGACACAGCTGAACAGCTGACCCCAGGCATATCCCATATCATAGGACATCATGCTCAGCATATAAAGCTGAGGAAGAAGGAAGGAGGGGGAACATTGGGAGTGATGGCATTTATCTTCCCAAGTCAGTGTGACACATGCTGGAGCGCTGTTGCACTGGAGATGGCTTTTTGCTTTGCTTGTGTGCAAGGCTTTTGCTTTATCTGTTAAACTGCCTTTATCTCGAGTTTTCCCATTTTTACTCTTCTGATTCTCTGCCCCATCCCAATGTAGACTTCTCCTTAGGAAGACAGAACAGCTACAGCATGAAAATAATTACAGCAAAAATTATACATAATGCATTTCAGTTTACAGCGTGCAAAATGTCAACACAAAAATACACTCTTAATTCACACCAATTCACCATTCCTTCCCCCTTTAAAGAAAACAGAGAAATCGATTCTTTCTCCAAAAACAATTAACAAATATTGAACAGTCCTGAATTAAAAACTCCTGGGTCACCTCCAGCAACCCTTACTCTAGAAATGAGGGCTTACAGCACAGCTCTATGAGCTACAGGCAAGATTCCTACAGGCCACAGCCTCTAATGGGCAAGTAGTTTACTTTTAAAATGCTCTAAATCCTTAATCCCAGACAGAAAGTGATCAAAGATGACTGCATTCCATTTGATTCTTCTTCCTAACTAGCCACATTTATGAGATCCTTCTTATCTTTTAACAATGAAAGCATACAGTCTCTCTAACCAAAGATTTGAGCTCTCCCAAATCCAGAGGCTGTTTCTTATACTCTGGCAGTTTCCAAAGTGCTTTGTCATTCACCCAACAACCAATCTAAACCCAAACTTCTAGATTCATTCATTTTAACAAGGGCTCTTTCCCACTCATTCAATGCATAAGACAGTAAAACAAAACAGTGAACAATGCAGTCTCTACAAAGAAGTCTTGACAAAATTAAAGTGCAATTTAAAAGTGGAAAGGTTCTTTGTAAGCATAAGCTTATTTACCACAACATTTCAACACACTAGCACGAGTTGAAACCAGATTATATTTGAGTAATCTGGGCTAGTGTATTTTAATGTACAAAGCTTTTATATTTATAAACATGGTCAGAAAAAAGCTGCATAAAACATCACATTACTGAATTCCAACCTGTATCCAGCTTGCCATAAACGTAGGTTTACTAAAGGAAAAACATTTCTCTAGTCCTCTTCTGACTACATCAGAAAGATTAAACATGAACATGAAACTTGCCCCAACCTTTAACGTGGATGGAACACTTAAAATGAAGCTCAGAGAAGCCCAATTCACCGAGGTTTGAAGCACCTGTAAACCACAGACACTCTCAGAAGTGTGAAGTACACTGATTCCATTTCAACATACCGTTAACACTCCAGAACGTTTTGCTGTGACACTACTAGAGGTTCTCAAGGTAGAAAAGCTCAAACCTGGAAATAAGTTTTCATGTTTCATTTTTAAATTCTTTACTTGCATAGAAAGCAACACCCTGATTCTACCCTTTTGTCCACAAATGTAAAGAATTCACCATGTTGGCATCATGTCAGGAAACCAGAGTCTTCCCAGGTGTTTGGAGACTTCCAAATGGAGTCGATCTAAGCTATAATCGCTATCTGGAATCAGTACCTCCTCCATTATAGAGAGCTGGGTAAGCCTGCCCCCACACATCTTCACAAATTCAATAAAACCTCTGCAAGTCACTTCACATTCACCAAGTCCCATTGCTGTCAAGTTCTTACAGCGCTCAGCAATCCGGATAAGTTCATCATCCAAAGGCTGGAGTCCATTAGCACACACAACCAACTCAATTAGCCTTGGGCAATTCATGCCAATGCGCCCTAACATCGCTTTGCTTACTGCACGACCAAAGTAAAGGTGTGTAACAGGGGTTTCCTCTCGGAAGAAAGCATCACATTCCTCTTCATATAAGAAGAAATACATCACAATGTTGACTTTGGGGGAGTGTTTAACAAGAGCATCCCAGCTTTGCTTTTTAATAGTATGAAATTCAACTTGGCCGGGATTTTCACTCACGACATCTATGCGAAGGTGTTCAAGGTCAACATGTTTCTCACTTGACAGAGCCAGCAGCAGTTCGTCACTTAATATGTAGTAGTTCAAAGCCAGCTCCTTAAGTCCATGACACTGGTCAGCAACACAGAGAATTCCTGAGGAACAAGAAATAATTAGTCTGCAAAATGAAAAGTGAATGTAAAACTCAAGCACGTCCTAATTCTATTGGCTTGAGTATTCATGCCTATATCCAAAACCCATGAAATACCATAAAGTTCCAAATATCCACATCCTTTAGAGGGTTCTGGCCGTAAACATCAGTTAAAGCTGCAAGTCTATCTAGTTGTATTCATCTTGGATCTGCTTTGCCTTCCCTGTGCAAAATTTCTTCAACTTAGAAGAAGCAATTGAAATTAGGTAAGGTTCAGCTGAAGTTGCCACTTCCCTTCCCTACTACTCCTTCCTTCAGCATTCATCTAAGGATTCTAATTAAATGACCACCAGCAAACTAGCTGAAGAGATGTGCTAAAAATCAGACCCTTCCCTGAACTGAGACATAAACCACATAACTGCTCAATCTGCTGGAATATAAAGTAGACAGATTAAATCACCTTCTATGGACTCTGGAAAGTACAGGAAAGAGACAAAACCAGGATTCCCTCTCCCCAGCAGCAAGGTTTCAGGAGAAACATAAGTGAGAAGGGACCTAAAGGCCTTCTGCACTTTCTGTCAAAGCTGTATTTCAAAAGGAGTGAGCTCTTCACCAACCAACGTTAAAACGAGCAAGTTCATAACTACCAGATCTGGACACACGAGGGCACTACAGACACAGAAACACTCGCAGTCTTCCACTGCTCTGTTTTCCGTACACACTCCGTGTATTTTTAACGTAACTTTGAAGTATTAACACTTTTTTTCAGTACCTTAAACTCTCAGTACCTCATGAAACTGTTGTTGTTTCATCTCCTTTATCCCACCAACCAGTAGCTGATTCATGGCTCTGGGATTTTGCATGTGTGTTCCCAGAGAACGCCAGTTGGTTAAGTTCACAAAGTTGCCCACGTTACTCAGCATGTATTTCATTACCCTTAACAGACCTGGCAATGAACATTAAGTGCTTGCAATATGTGTTAAAGGCTTGCACTAATTTTGGAGGCTTTTCCTTCTCAAAGCCTGTCATCAGATGCAGTGAAGCAGCTGAGAAGAATGTAAACTAAAATCCCAGAAGATGCAGTCAAGTGAGGAACACCTCCACCTTCATTACTCCAACTCATTATTCTTCCCCTTCCAACTATCTAAAGCCAAGGTCAATAAAAGGTCTCTGCTAAGTGACTCACAAGAACATCAGAGGTTTTATGAATACCTTGTTTCAAACTAAGTATTGACCATCATTTTATGTATTTCACTACTACACTTTACACATTCACTACTCACCAGCAGGTGATACATGAGGACAACTGCTCATCTTTAGCAGTTTAAGAGTATCACTATTGTTAGCAACAAGAACCTTCAAGGAAGGATCATCAAGTGGTGTGTCATCTATCTTGATTGAGGATAATGACTTGGAGTTTACAAAAACCACTGTCAGTGCTGAAGCAAAATGAGCCTGTTGGGAGAAATTGAAGGAGGGGAGAAAAAAGAAATCTTAATGAAAAGATGGGCAAAATTTCAACATCTAAAACTCAGGTTTTGCACTCACAGAAAGTACAAAAAATAATCACTTCTTAGGTATCCCCTGGTTGTGTAACAAAGAAAGCATTATTTGAACATGAAGACAGGTACTGTTCGCTAAAAATATGCTACTACATGTGACAAGAATCAACTTTACACTCAGTAGTTAACTCATCCACTCTGATTTATCTTTTCACTGCAATAAAACAGGAACAAGTATTCAGTGATAAGCCTGAACTATTTAGAATTTACCTGCAGAAATAAAGGAAGTGGTATTTATTTTATTTTCCAGAAAGTAACTCTGCTGTGATCTGTGGAGGCAAAGAAAGGAAAATCTCCCAATATTTTAACACCACATTACAGCATGGGGTCATTTTATCTTTTAACCCAGAAATGAGAACCCCAGGCTTCTAAATCATTCCTCATCTCTACCACAAAGCATCAGTGTTACTGATTTAAATAAATAGAAGCAATGATTATTTTCCTAATACTCATGGATGCCAGAAATTGAAGTACAAAACAATACAAAGCTCAAGTGGTTAAAAGTGAATTAAGTCACTCTGGTTACAGTTGGTGGAACATTACCTTAGAGACATTCATGAAGCTTGGTTTTGCTGTAGAAATCAAACCCAGGGTCTTGATAGAACAGTTTACCAACTGAGAAAGGATGTTGCAGGCTGCTTCTGCTGACTCAGTACTACTATCAACCTATAAAAACGATTTGAAAGTAATGAAAACATTCTTTATTAATATTTTAAGAACAGCATCATGGATAGCCAAGCCTGCATATTCCACACCTACTCAGCTGTACTGCACCAGACTGGATTTACAACAGGGACCAAGCACAACATTAATTTCAGGTTCAGGAAGGTCACTATTAGAAACTTCTCCTGACTGTGATTGCTGAGTATTAGTATGAACAGAAGCTGAGATTTAAGCCTTCTCTTCAAATAACCTCATGTCTTCCTACTAAACAACTGTAATTAGTATTGATGTTATGATAGTTGCATGTATGTCTCTTTTACAAATACCAGTTCTAGACTCTTACAGATGAAACTACCAATGCTGAGAAAAAGGATCTTCTGACTTCCATCTTAGCATTAATATCAACCCTTTCTTCTGCATTTTCTTCACAGCTTAGAACTATGGTATCCTGTAAGGAGAGGTGACTGCAAAGAAGTGAACAAAGCACCTGTAATTCCAACTCTGATCTCAGATGAACAGAGCAAACTGTATCAAGTATTCAATGAAAAAAAAATCTGCATTTATGCAATCCTGAGACTACAACCTAGCTTTTATTTAAATCAAGTTTACTGCTACTTATGTCCTTAGGCACCAAACACCTGAATATACAGGCACAGCATCTTTCTCCCTTACTCATACTTTTTGAAAGCATGGTTCTAAAATTATGACATTCTTCACTGTAAAGCCTTATTTTGAAAACAGATTATAAACAGAAGACAAAATTATTTCCTTGAAAGCTTCTATGTGTAAGAAATATTTATCTGCATCATAATCTGCTGAGTACTGAGACTGCCACTAACACTGACTCACAGAAACTACATATTCTGTATATGCTGAAAACACATCATTCAATCTTCAGCACTGTATCATTTGACGTTAGCTCTTCCTTCACTTTGTAAAGTGTAGGAAATGGAAGGAAACCATGTGCATCCATAGAAATGTTGCAGTAGCTGCCTTTTTAAACATAAGACTTCCCAGGTACAACACTCGAGCCAACTGACACAGAGAAGCTGCATATATTACACTCAGCCACATGACAAGACAAGCCTCTGTTCATCCAAGACTTACCTTGAAGCTGACGTACTGCAGATGATCAGCATGCCTCTTGATAATCTGCTGAATGAGATCAGGGTGTGTAGACTTTAAGTAAGAAGTAGCTGGCTGGCTAAGTTCAAATTCAAATCTCCTCCAGAGATCTGGGATGTGAAAGACTTCATTCCACCTTCGACAAACAGAAGATGCCCTTGCTCGATCGACTAAAGGCAGAAACTGGAAAACACGCAGAATAATGTGGTGTGGAAGGTTTCCCCAGTTCATTGAGGAGTGCAAGTCACATTCACCAAACACTGAGCCATAGGAGCAAGTTTTCTGCTTTTTGCTTTTCTGTGATGTTTGAGGAGCTCCACTGTCAACCACACCTCTCTGCCTAGCTCTCTTCATCGTGAAAGCTTCGGGTACTGGAACGACCCAATGTATTCAAACTGCAGTTTTCTGAAAGGTCTCACGTGCAATAGGTCTCTAGAAAAAGATAGGGAGGGAGAGACAAGACCATGGAAACACAGTCAGAGATAACAAGTCAGTAAAACTTAAATACAGCATGTTACTAGGAAAAATGGTGTGAGTTATGTCAATATCCAGTGCACAGGCGTTAGCAAGGACCTGCTTCCTCAATACCTTTTATGTTGTACAACTTGACTTGAATCTTGGAGAACTTGGGTTTGTTAATTTAACAAGTGTAGCTTCATGTGTTATTACTTCATAGTATATAAAACACTTTTTTGGGGGAAAATAAGGTATTTAACAGTAATTAAGTTTAGCAGTAGCAAACTGTTTATGTTTAAATTCAGCATACTATGGAAACTACTCAGTTCTTAGAAGAATTTTATCATCTACAGAGCCCAATTCATAAACTTCCTTTTTAAACACCAATGATCTTGGATCAGACACGTTCAGAAGAGTCAGACTGAAAAGTTCTGATTTTTTTTTTTCTTGGGTTCTTTTCCTATCATTCCCGGCAGAGGAAAAATGTTTGTACAGCTAACAACAGAAAACTTCAGAGGCCACTTACGAAACCAGGGCAAAGTAAGGCTCACATGCTGTTTTTCAGCGGGAGGAAAGGACAGTGACCCTGGGATACAGCAAACTGCATGATTCCATTGAGGAGTATCTGCCATATAAGCCAGAGTTCAGATAAACAGCAGCATAAGGAAAAGCCCCTCATTCCCATGCTGAAACAGTGCTATCTACTCAGTCCATTCCAGACTGAATTCTATTATTCAGTCAATTCTCAACAACTGTCTTAACCGTTTCAAATACCACTTCATTTTACCCTTGGATGAGGCCTTTCTCAAAGTACAACAGGGCTTTATCTCTTCCCAGCCACTCTGAAACTGAGCTTTTCAAAGCAACCATGTAGTCTTCAAGAACAAAGACCACACATTATCTGTTTTTACTGAACAATCTTCCATGGCAGCACTCACTCACACAGCATGCTTCTTCTGGAGCAAACATTTCACATAGTAACTTCATTATGGGATCAAAAAGAACCTAAACCAAAATCCAGAAACAGCTATCAAAATATAGAATATCCTATCAAAAATTTATCTGGCACTTTCCCCAGCTTATGAAACCTGATCTGTGGCTGATAAGGTGTCTTGACACATAAGTGTAACTCCACTTTGATGAAAAGAAAGCATTTGCCTTCTTCAAGAATTAGCCAACTAATCAAGAGCTGTTCATATGTCTAACAGTCACTAGAAATCTTCGCTCAGCCTCCTTAAAGTTCCATTTCTGGTAGAGGTAGGTAATATATGGAGGAGGAGAAGCTAGAAACACTCTTTAAATTATATGTCATAACAGGAGTTTTTCTTCCTTGAATAGACACACATGCCTTGTGTTAACAAAGTCAGCAAGTCAAGGAGAATGAAGAACAATACGCTCCAAAACACAGCAGTATTTCTAAACAATACATTACTGTTACTTAATGTAATGAAGATGCAAGCTCAGCATGAACAAACATTTTGCTACTAGATCATGTTATCGAATTGTCATCCACATGACCACATTTTATGACTTCTGACTGCTTTAAGCCACATAATGAATGGGAACTCCAATGCATTATGTGTGGATGTAGCAATTAACCATTACATAACTCTCTCTTGCAGTTGCTCATAGCCTTGCCAAATTTAGCAGAGGCTCAGCACTCTCTGAGTCAAATACCTCCTGGCTTTTTTAGGTTTCTATATTCCAGTACTGTAAGTAAGTAAAATTATGATACACTACAGTGAGATGCAAAACAGAAAAAGGTCCCAGTGGTTATAAATGAAAGTTTTCACCAAACACGAAGCCCTAATATTTCCTGTGAACACGTGAATACTCTAACTACAAACAGTATATATTTCAAAACACAACTGAAGTTAAATAAATCGTACATTCATGTCATATAATCCAGGCAGTATTCAATGATAGGTTTACACATATACATACCTCCAAAAAAATCCGGAAGTTCCTGTCAAGTTACCAGCACTCTCCTGGTATCCAAACATACATCCCACTCTTGAGTCATCCTGAACGTGTGCATGGATTCCTTAACCAGAAGGCAGGGACTGGTCCCAGATGAACTGACCTGTGAAGCCACCAACCAAAGAAACACTGTAATGCCTGGGAGACCCAGAGGAGGGACTGAAATCAGCTACGGAACAAAGTCCGAGATGAAGAGCACACATGGCACTGTACTGCAGACACAAAAGTAGAATAATGGAATGTGACAAGCAAATTCATTTTACCAAATGTGATCTGAAAACTATCATTTAACTAGTGGGAAGGCGTAACTGTTGGCACAAATCTAGGTTTTCTATTATTTAAAGTTTTAGCCACATCAGTACTCTTATGCAACACACATACACCCCTGGATTCTTGAATATTAGCTAAAGAAATTACAAACCTGGATAAGAAATGTTAACTACTCACTTTTACTCCAAAAACATGCTTACTGCATTGTGATAATCCTGACAGTAAGCAAACTAATTAAACACTGGAAAAAAGGGTATCAGTGATGCATGAACATCATCCCCATACTAACATGAAAAAACCTACCCTGTATCTTAGTATGAAAGTATCTTAGTCTGCTATAGAAAGCATACCCCAAACCTCCAAACTCAGTTACCCACTTTATATTATTTGTAGATGGTTTAATGGAAAGCTATAGGAATGGCAACACAAATCTGACTTAATCATTGACAGATTTTGAATGAAAAGGAGATTTAGAAACTGAACATGTTTACAAAGTATCGTGTTCAACCAGTAATAACATCTTTAGAAACCTTCTAACACTGAACTTTTCCTTTAAAAGGTGACAGACAAGAGGCTTTACGTTCTTCCAGGTCATATCCTCATGTTCTGAAATACTACCCAGTTAACATGAGCTTTAAAGCTGTAAAGTTTAGCACAGGTGCAGTACATGTGTTAGCTATGAATACAAGAGAAGCAGTCCCCATCTCCTTAGCAAAGTCAAACTCTAACACTGAAACCCGTGCAAGTAATGCTGTTGCTCAGCTCATGCATCAGAAAACTGAAAAGCTGCATAGTCATGCTTGTCTATACTTGGAAACTTGATATGCATTAGTAACTGCAGATGGCATCTGAAAAGTCTGCAAGTGATGGGATGGCCCTGTATCACATTCTCCTGTGAAGCGAGCAGACTGTCCCTTTGCTAACTGCACAGCACATAAAATCTGTTTGCTGTCAGTGTCTAACACCAAGGCAGGTTTATAATGCCACATGTAAACAGAACACATAAATAACATTGTAATTAAGAGCATAAAACATTGAGATGCAATATAAAAATTCAACACAGGATTGCATTAAGTGTAAGTTTTAAACCACATGATGTCTTTTGAAGCAGCTTTCTTACCTAAACAATGCTTCCAAGTTACAACAGGCAATAAATGAATTAACTGAGGCAGCTGCAGCCATGAGGCATTCACAAGCATCTGTCTGCTTTCCCCTCCTGTTCAGATAAAATGCCACAAAAATCTTGGTTAGTCTTGAAAAAGAATAACCCTTGTATTACATCCCATGCAAAAGTGAGGAAAATACACTGCAAAAAGTTTATACATGTTCTTGTTTTAGTAAAGGAGCTTGAGGGCATCTTAACACAGGTACCTTCTCCCACATGCCAAATGCTGTGCCACTGATAGAAATGTGAGGTCGGATGAAGTATAAAATTGATGGGAAACAAGTGTTGCAGCTGCATTTACACAGTACTGGCCAACACTACAATGTAAACAGTAACTTACTCAACATTTCCATTATCATTACCACTAGTAGTGAAGTTTGGCCAATAACACTGGCCTAGAGAACTACACAACAGACGATGGAGACACAGAGGCCACATGGCACAGCTTCCTACCACCCAACAGGCAGCAGCCACCACCCAGTACAGCCCTGGGAATGCAGTCACCTGGCAAGGAGCAAGGCAGGAGCTGCACCCAATGGACAATAAACCACCCAGACTGCAGCCTCGTCCCTGTTGATGGGCTCCCAGAATGCAGATGAAAGCCTGTGCAAAGCAGCAAGTGTATCACCAACTACCACATCAAGGGGGCTTACACTCAAAGTCCCCTATATCCCTCCACACTACTTTCTTTTAACACTACATGACAGCTAAGTTGTTTGCACCTCAGTATCTTCCATCATAAGGAAACATTGAAAGCTTTGCTTCCAAGAACCACACCAAATAACTGAAGTCTTTGTCATGATAAGCTTTACATGCCTGTCACTGGGCTAAAAAATAAAGAGTATACCCTTTCATCTGGTCTAACGCGAGGATTTCAGTATTCTTCCCAACACTTCTCACTGTGGCTGTCAGCAAAATAAGTGTTAACAGCAAAATAACACCTCAGAACTTTAGGAAAAGGACATTAATATCCTTTTATAGTAAGGAATGTAATAAATTTAGACACTACATTAAAAGTTATTCAAAGTTGTTAAATAATAAAATAATTGGGTGCACAGCCTAATGATGCTTCCATTAAGTGTTCAGTGTCAGAAGAACCACACAAAGCAGCTTGAACTAAGCTCACAGAAGCAGAAATGTTTATAATGAAAGAATAGCTAGCTATCAGAGATGCAATCAGATACAAACTTGTAATGTAAATAACAGTGAATTGTTATAAGGTAGAGTTACCTAAATTATTACACCAAAGATAAACAGCAACACCACAGTCATTGAAGTGAAACACTTGGATAACTGGTGAGGTTTATCACATCTGTCTGTGCAGAGCATAGTGTCAAATACTGGCGCACTGCCCCATACAGCTGTTTTCTCTATAAACTCCTTGACCTTAGCATCCCATGATCAGGTATTTTTGCACAGCTGCACGTTATCCTACTCAAACCCACAAAACCCACCAGGGATCAGGAAAGAAATCAAATTTAATAACTGTTCCTGCAGCTTTATCCTGGTAAAAGAAGCATCAACTTCTGCCAAAATTCAGATGCTAAAATCTCTCCCACGACAGGAGGTCTCAGCAGGGGATTGAGAGAAGTGGTCAGCAGGAGCTCAGTTAAGCCAGCAGCTGTTCACTACTTCCCATGGCTGTTGCAGAAAAGGGGGTTTATTATGAAAACCCAACATATCATGGATTCAAGCCACAAGGAAATAACTGCTGCCTCTGATTTGTGGATTCCACTTTCAGTTCTCAGCACCAGGACCCAGCAGGAATTAATGAAACACCGCAACAATCAGGTTTCTAGGAGAGAAAAAGGGGAAAAAAATCCAAAAGAAATCAAGCTCCTGCTAAGTAAAACCCCTTTCAAATAACTACGCTCAGAAATCCACCGGGATAAAGCAGGCATCGTGATAATTAAGCCTTAACTTTCCAACACGTGGAAATTAACGTTGATGGATCTGCCTTTAAGAGCTGAAATACCTGTCCCGTTAATCATAGTGTCTTTTAAGAACCCGCAGTTCAGTGATAGCACCAAGGTCACCACGTTAAGGAATCCGGAGCCCCTGTGGAGAACAGGCGCAGCGCATCCCCTACTCCAGAACGGGAGCGCTGGAACTGCTGATGCAGCCTCAATCGCCGCGTTAGGTTTCAAAACACAGAGCGAAAACGCATCGGAAGCTCCGGTTTCAGAACATGAAGCTCCAAGATAAGCGGTTTTCTTCATTTAGGGCATTTCTGCTTCTGAACAGGGGTTTAAGCCTTCATTTTTCTCCTCGAAACTGAGTCTCTCTCTCAAGGGATTGATCACGTTTTTAATGTGAGCCCTAAAAATACCAGCACTCAGCTGAACACCTTAATGCCTCCGGTAATTGCCACTGAAGCAGGATGAACGCATTGCCGCTTTCAGTGTTATTCAAGTGACAAAATGTAGCTGTTCTACTGATGCACTATATTCAGAAGCCACCTCCATCTGAATTCACTTTTAGACTATAAACACCACCCAAAACTCCCCTTATTTTAATGGCACATCTGAAGCTCCACAGCTTCAAGAGCTCTCTTGACCCAAACACTGCAAGGCAGAAACAAACGCATTCTTTCTACGGGCTTTCTAGAAGCGGTTCTACCCATCTTTAACATGCCGTTTAACCTCTTTGCATTGGAAAACCCCCTTTTCTTACAAACGACGGCTCCCGGGCATCCCCAGCGCACCACTCGCCCTAACCGGGTGCCCGAAGAGGATGCAACCCCGGTGTTAAAGCACACCAGGAGGTCGCAGGTCGGCGGTTTGGGGTCTGTTCCACCTGACACTTCAACACAAGCGGGCTCCGAGCGAACGCAGCCCCGGCCAAGGCATTACCTTCCCCGCGGTGTCCCCCGCAGCTCTTGCAGGGGCCGGAGGGCGGCCATGGCCCTGAGGGCGGCGACCTCCGCTCAGGCCGAAGGTTTACGAACGCAACAGGAGCCCTGCTGAGCTCACGGAGAACGAAGGTCTCCCCCCGCGGCGGGCACTGCCGTCCAGCTCCACACCGCCGCTGCCTCCCCCCTTCCCCGGGCCGCCAAGCGGGGACACCGCGGCCTCCACCCACCCACCCGGGGCCGCCCCGCCGCTCACCGCCGCCCCGGCGCGGCTCCCTCGCAGAGGCAGGGCCGAGGCAGCCGCCGAGCAGGGCACAGGCTCCGCGCTCTGCCCCGAGCGAGCCCGCCCGCCGCGGGGAGGAGCCGCAGCGGCCGCCCCGCACACACCCCCTCAACGCGCAGGCGCCATTCAGGGCTGCGGGCGCCATTTCACGGCCGGGCGGGAGGCGGCCCGCGGCTAAAATGGGGAGGGCGGCTCCGGACCGGGTCCTAATGCCCCACCCGGCATGGAGGGGTCTTGGCTGTGGTCGCTTGCTCTCTCCTTTCCCTTCCGGCATGAGCGGCTGGGCCGGTTCCTCCTCATGGGCAGGCCGGGCCTCCCGGTCATTCTTTCTCTCGGCTGTTGTATCATTTCCTTATGGGGAGTACCGGTAGCCCCGGATCTTCCTTGAGCCGGCCCTTGGAAACTGCTCCGTGAGCCTCTTTAGTTTGCCTCAAGTACAGCTGTTCCCTATGGAAACACGTTTGTGGCACAACAGCAAAGAAGATCCATCCTTTTGTCCTAAAGGGTGGCCGTGGGAGCATCATTGTCTCTGCCTCCTTGCATTAACTGCCCTCGTCGAGGGAAGCGTCAGCCAGCCAAGGATAGTCAGTCCCCTGTGAACGCTTTGAAAGATGGAGTTCAAGCAGAAGGATGCTGGGTTTTAGCTGTCTGTTGGCCAAAAAGGGCTCTGTTCTGAACAGCGAGGCTTTCCCTGCTTACTGAGCATGCCCTCAATGCATGTCACCCTGCCAAGGACAGAGAACCAAGCACTGCACTGTATGTCCAAACTGGCGATGCTAAAAGAACTTACTACCTAATGGATAATAATAGTAATAAAGCATATTTTATCTGTGCAGACAGAACAGCTCATCACTAGTCAGTGTTTCTTTATGATTCTAGGCTTATCTGAACAACCGAGGTTTTATTACCAACTGCTACAGAACGCAACCACAGGTTTCCTGGCACTTGCATACAGCAATGATTAACCATGAACAAGCCTTTATAGCATCTCTATATAAAGAGATAATACTAAGTGTGAAGCACTTCAGTGGTAGATTATATCTGCATAAAAGCATAGCTGGCAGAACACAGCAGAGCATTTGTGTACCATCAAAATACAGTTTCTTCACACAGGTCTGAAAAAGGATCAGCGTGTTGAAGGGCTAATCAAAGGAATAGAAAGGAATATTTATCACTTAGTGAGTGATACCTTCAAAGTACACAGTTCCATAGAATAGAACAGTTAGGGTTGGAAAGGACCTTAAGATCATCCAGTTCCAGCCCCCTGCCATGGGCAGGGACACCTCACATTAAACCATCTCACCCAAGGCTTCATCCAGCCTGGCCTTGAACACTGCCAGGGATGGAGCATTCACAACCTCCCTGGGCAACCCATTCCAGTGCCTCAGCACCCTCACAGGAAAGAATTTCCTCCTTATATCCAATGTAAACTTCCCCTGTTTCAGTTTTAACCCATTACCCTTGTCCTATCACTACAGTCCCTAATGAAGAGTCCCTCCCCAGCATCCCTATAGGCCCCCTTCAGATACTGGAAGGCTGCTCTGAGATCTCCACGCAGCCTTCTCCAGGCTGAACAGCCCCAACTTTCTCAGCCACCCTTCATACGGGAGGTGCTCCATACACTGCACACTTCCAATCAATTTAGCTTAGAAAATCTACCAAAACCACTCTTACTATATAGTTCTCAAATGTATTAACTCAGACCCTAAAGGAAGTAGGAGATTAAGTTCCAGATAGTTTTATTAAGTCCTTTGTTCCTGGTATACAGTTTAAAACTGATTTTTCAGTAAATACTGCTACAAAAAGCACCTTTACCTTACGAGTTACTCCATGTAGACAGTGATTAAAGGCTAGATTGTAAACAGAGATTAATGCAGATTTGCAGCTAGTATCTAAATCCACTAGTCATCGGTTTCTTTGATGCATTGCCAGTGACGTTTGGGCTGCTATACTGTAACAGGTTCGAATGTACTTTAGAAATCCAGGGACTAATCTATATAAAACCAGCTACGGATTCGTAAGTACTAGAAGAAAATAAGCACAAACATGGGCACACACTGGGTGCTTCTGTCTCCTACTCATCTTGCAGGTATGACATCGGTGCCTGGTTCAGAGCTGCTGCTCACGTCTCCAGTTGTGTCATCTCATACACAAGACGCAAAGAGCTAAAGGCAAACCACCCCACTGGATATAGGTCCCCCCTTATCTAACCTACTACTACAGGCTACCCACATCATCCAGCCACTCAAAGTTAAGCTGAGCCTTCCTCATGTGGTTGTCTCTCCTGCAGACAGATTTACAGGAGGAGATAGCTACTCACATTGCACATTTATGGTGGTTAGTGATGTTATGCATAGCATTTCACACAGGTTTCATTATATATTCTTTCTGTACTTTGATCAAGAGCGATTATTCACGTTTTATATCATTGGCCTTTGAAGTAGTCAATGAAATCAAGAAAGCAATGTGAGTAAACCCATGAATTAATGAGCATAAGGAAGCTTTCTGGAAATCAGAAGTTTCCCGAGAGTGAAGACTGAACATCTGACAATTCAGAATCAGCACGCCATGCGCTTGAAGATTTACGAGTCCTGTGCTGAAAGATGAAGATGAGACTCCTGAGATTATTGGCCATTTCTTAACTAGTTTTTAACAGAAGCCTCCACAAGTAAGGGGGGAGGAGTTGGGAAAAACCAATGAAGAATATAAAGTTAAGGATGGTTTTTGTCAGGCCAAGTAGGAAACCACACAGTACGTTGTGCTGTGCAGCAATAGCTCCTACAGATAAGTCTCGCAAGGCATCACTACCAGCTTTTTTGATACGCTGACTTTGGCATATCTGAATTTCATAGGAGAACTTCTACATGTTAATGCAAGCCCTGCTTCATTTTTGTCGTGATCGTGGTTCTGACAAAGCCACATACCCAAAGGATACCTGTGGTTGCACACTTTACTATCTCGAACCCTTGAAAGAGAGCAGTGGAGGCCAGTGGTGCTGTGCCTTGGCCAAAGTTTCACAGAGGCTCCATCATTTCCATGCTGCACAGTACTCAGCCAGCCTAGTTTGTCTCTGAAAGTAGTTGCATTTGTATTAGTGTGCTAAGCCAAATAAGGACTGTGTTGTAGCTCTTCCTTTTGAATGCTTAATTTGAGAACCATGTATTTCACACACGGTATTGAGAACACTGTAATCCACTGTCATTCTCTAAAACCCAAGTATTCAAACAGTGTGACAAACACTGCAGCTCTATCAATTTAAATCTCACTGAGCAGACTAGAGTAGCAAGTGACGATCATGCCCAGAAAGTAGGTTAGTGTGTCATGTTTGCTGGAGGCTTGTGAGCTGCCCTGCTAGACACCAGCTGCTGCACAGGCAGGCAAGAAACAACCTGTCTTAGGGGTAGAAATCACCCGGGTTCCTTTGTAGAAGTTTCTGTGTTCCACACAGAACCTGAAATAATCAGTGAAAATAATATCTCATTTACGTGCCTGATTGCAAATGCCTTCCCTTATAGGAAACACTTAAAACGTGAGCTTATATGGGTAAGTTTTTGGGACAATGTTAAGCTTTTAGAAATGCAATAAGTGTAATATTATCTCTCCAGAAAGAAGCATGAATCACTAAAGGGAGCAACTCCTAGTATGTTGTAATCCTTTACTTTTGTTTGATGGTGAGACTTTATAAGGTGGCATATTACCACTGTTTTTTATATATATATATATATGTTTCAGACAAAACTGGTAATAAGTAGGGTTAACGGTACCCATTAAATTGCAAAATAAGTATAAGAAACTTACCGATTACAGATGCTGTTTGTACTTTCTGTGGAAGGAGCTGCCACAGAAGGGTATTAATAGTTTTTAACTTGTCTGGAAACAAAATACATAGAGATGCTGTATTCCTGTGGTATACTAGAGACATGTTATTGAAATCCCCATCGAACCAATATGTTTTAATATCTACACTGAAAAAAAGTATCTCTTAATCTAGCAGAGACCAGCTTTTCAGTTATTAACTGAAATTCATTCTTTCTGAACAAGTTTTAGGTTGGGGCATCACGAGGGCTGGCTGGGAGCCAGGGGGTACCACAGCCTCACCTGCGAGGCAGGTCCAGGGATGGCAACCAGCTTCAACCAAGAGTCCACATCTTCAGGCAAGTCCCTGGTGAGGAGGCAGGTCCGGGGTCACACCAGGACAGGATTGCTGGCCAGGAACAAGGGTGGCAGTGGCTACAGACCAGCAACACTCCAGCATCACTCAGGGAAGGTTTGAAGGACCAGGACTGAGCTTAAATGGGCACCTGGGGCAGTGGGACAAGGGTGTGAGTGATGCCCCAGGTGAGGCTGTTCAGAGCCATTAGTACCTATTAGGTATTAATTAATTAGTGCCCCTGACACTTTGGATAGTGTCTATCAAAAGTTCAGTGACTGCCTATTGAGCCATAAAGCCCAGAATCTGTTCATCCAGTTGGCAGGAGAAGGAAGCAGGTTTGTCCCATTGCCACTGCCAACCAGGAAAACTGTACCAACAATAAAGCTTATAAAAGGGATTTTAACCAGTTTTCTCCACTGTCTTTGGATTTTGTCTGTGGGGCCTAGGATTCACACACACATCAAATAATACTTTAGCTGCAGCAACCTGACCTTCCTTTTCGATACATATTTATGACAGTCTTTTCCAGAGACACTTTCCTGTTCATTCTTTTCTGTGCTATGTAGAGATGGTGTAAATTATGATTTTTAAAGGTTAGATTAATAGCAAGTGAACAAAAAACCGCAGAACTGACATATATTTGGATTGTTTCTTTGCTCTCCAAAGGTCTTGGGGTTTAAACACCTATTCTGTGTTTACCTCCAGATGTTGCTATAGCCTCGCCTGGTCACAAGAGGGAACTCGCATCTCAGTCTCTTTGATTTAGCTTTCATATTAATAATCTGAGGACTCTGCAGATTAATAAAGAGGATATGTTAGGATATGTATGTGTGTGAGACACGTAAGTGTGCATATATATATA